AAAGTTTATTAATAGATACTGTACATAAATTTTTTTCATTACATTCAAAACATCAATCTTTGTAAATTAAATTTGAAACAAAGAAACTACTACATCAGTATTTTCATTAAAATATTACATCACAGTATATTTTACCTTAACTGTGACTGAATGAATATATTCTCAGAAATAAATATGGAAATGTAATGTTTTGGCTGAAGACGATGATTACAGTGAAAGTGATAAAATCATGACGTAAAACAATGACTTTCGCCGCTGTTCAAGATTTTACCGTAATCGCTGAATGGTTTTCAGTTAAAAATCTTTGTACCATACTAAAGGTGTACTATAAATATTTTCTTTTACTCTAATACTTATAACCATTGGTAGCGTGGATAGAGGAGGCTCTGGGTATATGTAATGATAGTATCAAGTAATAGGAAGAAATAACTGTAGATACTGTAGGTAAATAATAGACACAATATAGAAATACACAATTTATTTAAACATTAATATGGAGGTAGGAGAAAGAATATATGTACCAACAGATGAATTGTACTAGGCCCTCAGGCTCAACATACTCACACCACTACTGGGTGGACATACTCAACACACTCAAACTCTTAGTAACTTAGCACCATTAAGACCAGGCAACTGCCACTACAACACTTAGTCATCAGGAGTGATACTCAAGCATCTCATGGGGTCCTGCCACCATGGGCACTTCAACGAACTCTGAAGATCCTAGTGAATAACCCCACCACACAAATAGCCCTACTGAGTTAGACATTCATCCACTACAACACTCAGTCATCAGGAGGATACTACATCCGCCATGGGTCCTGCCACCAGGTACTTTCAACTAACTCTGAAGATCTGGTGAATGAACCCCACCACACAAATAGCCCTACTGAGTTAGACATTCATCCACCAATGATGGGGTGGCTTGGTGATCCGTCACCGGCCGAGCCGTTAGGGTCCGACGAGCCAGCTATGGGGACCATAGGTCTGGGGTGTCGGACGGGTCTCAAAGGTAACTGATCCTACTGGACCTCGACATCTCCCCAGACATAGTGGATACAACATCCATGCTACAGACACGGCCTAGGCTGCGTTAGGGACCTGTATGGGTGAAGGGTAGCATTACTAACCGTGACAACGACATCACGTTTCAGGATGCTAAGACGTAAATATTACTTACCAGAGCATATCAACTATGTTACTGTAACACTTGCACAATCAACTATTAATTGGGTCAAATCACTTAAAGAAGGGCGAATTACAACACAGAGTGGAATGACCTACCTGTATAGGAAGGCTAGCACTTACTTACGGTTGAAATGCCCGCGGCACCCTCACCCAAAATTTACTGTACACTCTGACGTTGAAACTGAGACTATGAACTCAGTTTCATTCCCTACTATTATCTTCACTAACAATGCTCTGGCTGAGCTATCAAAAGCAAAATTAAATTGATTACAAAGGGTTGGATGGCAACAGGTCTCAACATACAGCGTCTTGCTACGAAATCCGCGGATTATATTCAAAGTTCCCTTTAGACAAAGACGGCCTATCGATGACGTCATCAAGAAAACAGAGAAAATGGGGGACGTTTCCACTGGGGGACTCAGAAGGTTTTGTGGACATTTGAGCGTAATATGAATCCTTAAGGTTTTCAGGTTAGCCGTCATCACGATCATGACACTGAATTTCAATAATATTCTATCCTATCATTAGCCTCATAATCCCCCAACTGAAAACCATTAGAAAAGCGATCACGGTAACATCTTTTGAACGAAAGAAAGCAAAAGTCATTGCTTTTGTCACAATTTTATCCCACTTTCCACTGTAATACGTACGTCATTTTAGCAAAAATATTACATTTCCATATTTTCAGAAATAAATAGTAGTTTTGTTGAAACGTAATGTACAGTATTTAATATTGGAATGCAAAAAGAGCTATAAAAACAAGTAATACTGTACACCCGTAATGTACTGGCTGGCATCTCCACTCGTCCCTGTTCCTGCCAGTCACCGACTCACCACCCATCCCCGCTCTATCCCTCTGCCTCCTCCACATCGTCACTACTGTTGTATTACAATAATACTCTATCCTAATTCACTTGAATAAATACTACGATACCATATTTCTGAATATTTTCATTAAAATCCATCAAAATCATTTTCCTTGTCATCGTCTTAAGCACCAAACAGCTCTTCCCAGTCTTCTCCTTGAACAGGGCTAGAGGGTACGTGTTTTTCGAATCGTTTTCAGTTAAAAAAATGTTACATCACAGGTATATTTTACCTAAACTGCACCTGAATGAATATATTCTCAGAAATAAATAGTAGTTTTGCTGAAACGTGATGTATTTCAATGTAAAATAGGATAAAATACATGACAAAAACAAAAGACTTTACCTAACCTTCCGATGTTCAAGAGATGTTACTCATATTTTTAATAGTTTTCGGTTAAAATTCTGTTATACTGTATTACAATGATATTCTATTCATACTGTGCTTGATATAGTACTACATTCACAGAATTGTAATATTTTTGCTGAAATGACGTACGTATTACAGTGGAAAGTGGGATAAAATCATGACGAAAACAATGACTTTCGCTTTCTTTTGTTCAAAAGATGTTACTGTAATCGCTTTTCGAATGGTTTTCAGTTAAAAAAAATGTTGCATCACAAGTGAATTAGGATAGAATATTATTGTAATAAACAGTTTTTTAACTGAAAACCATTCGAAAAGCGATTACAGTAACATCTTTTGAACGAAGGAAAGCGAAAGTCATTGCTTTCGTCATTTTCCACTGTAATACATACGTCATTTCAGCAGAAATATTACATTTCCATATTCTCAGAAATAAATAGTAGTTTTGCTGAAACGTAATGTATTTCAATGTAAATTAGGATCAACTGCATGAAAACAAAAGACTTTAACTAACCTTCCGATGTTCAAGGTATGTTACTCGTTTTTTTAATAGTTTTCGGTTAAAATACTGTTATATGAGTGATATTCTATTCATACTGTGCTTGATATAATACATTCACGGAAATGTAATATTTTTGGAACTACAATGCTGATGTCAACACAAGCGTGGTTACAGCGAGATTGACTGAGTGAGGGAGAGCTATGTGTGTGTGTGTGTGAGATTGCAGGAGCGGGCAGTGTCCCGTGTACGGTGCCGCACGCAAGTTGAATGGCGCGTGATTTGAATGTTCTTCAATTACTTCAATGTACAGAATATTCCTCCGGCGGGGCAATCCGCGTATTTGCAAATCCGTGTTTGCTAAACCCGCGTATGTTAAGGGCCGACTGTGTGTATATATATATATATATATATATATATATATATATATATATATATATATATATATATATATATATATATATATATATATATATATATATATATATATATATATATATATATATTGTGTGTGTATATGTATATGTATGTGCATATGTATGTATAAATAAATAAATAAAAAATATAAATAACAAATAATAAAATAAATAAATATTGAAGTGATAACCGTGGTAACATTATGAGATGTACTTATTACTACCATGCTATTGTACTATTCCAGATGATACTAAATGTTACATAATACTTCCTTGAGATAAATGTATAGTATATATCCGGTGCCTCAAAGAGAGCTCAGGTTCTCAACTGGCTCAGCCATGTTAATATTTTTATTATTATCCACTCTGTATCTGTATTTTTCTGGCTAAATAAAATGTTTCAATCAATCAATCAAAAAACTTGTATCACCTGTATCACTATCCATCACAGAGGCTTGCAGGGCCTCTTTGTTCAAACCCCTCAAAGTCCATATCCTCACTATCACTGATTTGAGCTGCCTGTGGTGGGTTGCGGGTGAAGAACTCGGTAATGTTTTGTTGACTGGGCGACCTAGTGCGCACCCTGCCCGCTCTGCTTCCCGCGTAAATGATGGAATGTACCGCGTAACTAATAATTGCCGGTCTGGCCAGGTGCCGTGTAAATGACCAACTGCGTAAAGGAAATCCCGTAAATCGAGACTACCCCCTGTATACTGTATTACTACAGAGATGATATTATTATTATTATAATTATTATTTTATTATTTTTTTATTAAAATTTTTATTTACTATGAATTATTATTATTATTATTATTATTATTATTAAATAATATGTAATAATAATAATATAATAACAATAATATAATAATAATATATTTGCCCCCAGGCTCCAATGTGGGTCAGTGACCTGTGCCCGGTGGGCTAATCCTGTAAAAAAAAAAAAAAATATATATATATATATACAGTATATATATATATATATATATATATATATATATATATATATATATATATATATATATATATATATATATATATATATATATATATATATATATATATATATATATATATATATATATATATATATATATATATATATATATATATATATATATATATATATATATATATATATATATATATATATATATATATATATATATATATATATACTCATGAGAGATGAGTGAGGGGGGCAACATATAGAGGACTGGTGGCAAAATGTAGTGGCAAGTTCACTGGGCTTTGGGCTAGCCTCGTAACCTCATGCCATATTTACACATCTGAGAGGAGCAGAGTGCTGTGAACATTTTAAGAACTCAAATTTTTCAAAATACAACACTAAGTTAAAGCAAAGCATGGGCTATTTTGTATGAATAATTTCCCTAATTTATCAACTACCTATACCTGAAAACAGAAGGTGAAACTGTGTCAACTGAAAGATACCTGTATGTAAAAGCTGTTGTCTTGTAGGACTGTAGCACCTTGGCTCTAGACAAGTCTCAACATTAAAGGAGGCTGGCTTTGACAAATATTTGTAAGACTATTCAAGTTTTCATGCACTACACTTTAGTGGGTGTGGAAAAATGTTCATGATGTCTGTATAGATAAACAGGTGAAAGAATATTTTATACTATGTTTAATGTCTGATTTTCCTTCAGTGTCCATATGGAATACAAGAGAGAGTGGATCATGATGGATGTAATAGCTGCTCATGCTATGATCCATGTGACCAGATTGCATGCAGTAATGGTACACAATGTGCAATAGATCTTCTTCCATCTGAAAAGAGCTCTGAGAGCACTCCTTATGTGGCTGTCTGTAGAAAAAGTAAGTCTTAATTGTTCTATTGAAGGGATTTCTGTGGGTTCCTAACAACTTGACCTTATGTGAACCACTTTATGTTCCTAATTATCTAGAACATTTTGTTTCATTTGAATTTTTTTTTCAGAAGTTATAGTTATTTTATTGCCATGAGAGTCTAATCATCTTGTAGTTACTATTTACATAATAGAAAAAAATTTTGATTGAAATATCTTGAGTGGTTTTGATAGAGTAATAAATAACTACTGTACTGTACAGTCGTGTCGCATCTTACGTGGGGATACGTTTTGAAGAGGGAGCATAGAGCCAAAAATGCGTATACAGTGAACCCTCACTTTACGCGGTCAATTGAACCCACGGAGGCCCGTGTAAAGTGAGAAACGCGTAAAGTGAACAACATAACATATGGGATTAAATGAAATAGAGACATGCTGACCCCCAAACTCCCACTTTTTCCGACACAATGCCTATGTTCTAGTAAAAATAACATCTTAATTTTATGATGGTACATGCACACAATTAATACTTAAGAGAAATAGAGAAATACAGTCGCCAAGTTAATGTCCATTCAAATAATGGACTCAACTCCCTCCCCCTCTTCTCACACTCCTGGCTCTTCCCTCTCTGAAAAATGTTTGGGGGAAAACCGCTAGATTTTAAGGTATAGTAATAAATAATACCTCAAACTAAAGTTAGGATAATATAATTGACATTACAGTACTGGATTCCTTGTAAGACCAGGAATATTTTGAATATAAATGTCTTATATTTTGCACAAAAGATAACATATTTACTCAAAGTAAACAAAATACTTAAAGTAGATCTAAAATTTGTATGTCTAATGCAAAATCTATGATGTTTATATTCAAAATGATCATCAAATTGTAAGAATTCCAGCAATGTAAATTATATTCTGGCCCGGTAATTTGTATGAATTTTATGAGCTAAAACAAATATCTTCAATAAATAAACAAAATTTACTTACCGAAATACTATCTGTCAGTCAAAATTCCCCACCTCCCCCCCTCTTCCCACCTGCTCCCTGGGTCCCTCCCTCCCTCCCTACCCCTCACCCCCACCTTCCCTCCCTATCAGAGAAATGATTGGGTTATAACAGTATATTTACATTTTTAGTAATAAATAATACCTCAGACTAAAGTTAGGATAATATAATTGACATTGCTGGATTCCTTGCAAGACCAGGAATATTTTGAATATACACTTCATATATTTTTTCACAAAAGATAACATATTTGCTGTGAGTAAACAAAATACTTGCATTAGTTCTAAAATTTGTATGTCTAATGCAAAATCTATGATGCTTATATTCAAAATGATCATCAAATTGTAAGAATTCCACCAATGTAAATTATATTCTGGCCGGATAATTTGTATGAATTTTATGAGCTAAATAAAAAAAATTATACTTCACCCGCGTATATGAGTAGATGCACCGCGTAAAGTGGGAATTCCGGTTCTGGCAGGGTACCGCGTAAATGTAGAAACACGTAAAGTGAAACCGCGTAAAGCGAGGGTTCACTGTAGTCAAAATTACCTTGAAACTCCGCATCTGGCGACTTGGCTGGTTAGGCCTATTTAAGTTTAAACCCCCCAAAATATCAAATAATTATCATAAGGTCAAAACCATAAAGGGAATTAATATAGGGTTGCCATACGTCCGTATTTTCCCGGACATGTCCTCCATTTAGGTCTCGAAATCTTCATCCAGAAGTAATTTTTTTAATTCTTCAAAACTCCGGAATTTCAGCTTCCATCATTTTCTCCACGGAAAAAAAAACATGAAACTGTAATGATGAGAGAGAGAGACTGTGAGAGAGAGGAAGTGGAAACCGTAGAGATCTCGTTCAGTTTTCGTCAGCTGATAAGTCAAGTGTACGCCTGTATGGTGTTGTCAACTTAGCTGCTAGCAGTTTTTGGGCTAGCATGAAGTGCCATGTACTGCTTTTCCTTGTTCTTCAGCCACGCGCATTATTATAAATTTTTTGTATTTAGTGCTATTACAGCCATAAATGAAATGTTGAAAGTATACCATTTTTTCTTATGGCTTTTTTTACACTGCTGCATTTGGTTTTCTTGTCCTGCATTTAAGGCATTTTAGCAATTTTCAACCATAATCTAGCCACTTTCACTATATTATTTACGTGTGTTGACAACTATGACGGTGACCGGTGGTTGGCCAGTCTTTAGCCTGCAGACTGTAGTGACAGTGTTTGATCTGAGTCTTTGTTGTGGGTTTGTCTGCCAACACATAAAAAGTGGACCAGATACTTTGAAAAATCAAAGAACATTGAATGCCATTCAGAAATGCTAAGAATTGCACAATTCTTCTTTGCTTTATCATCTCACAATGCAAATGTAGAAAGAGTTTTTTCACTGATGCAAAGTCAATGGACAAAGGAAAGGAACAAATTGAGTGTTGAAACAATGAAAGGCATTCTGACAGTACAGTACAGTACAACTTCTGAGAAACATCTTGCAGTGACTTCTATGCCTTTCTAAAGAGCAATCAGCCAATACTGAAAAAGATCCGATCTACAGAAAAGTATGCATTGGCACATCAAGTCACACACACAGTGGGGGAAGAAGACTGCAGCTAAGGGAATGAAGATATTCAGCCTTAAGCAAAGGTAATTTTTATTTTTTATTTTTAAGATTTCTATACCATGTACTGTATGTTGTATATTAGCCTACATTAAAAACACAATGCAATACAGTACAGTAGTACTGGCCCGACCCCCAAACTCCACTTTTTCAGACACAATACCTACGTTGTAATAAAAATTACATCTTAATTTTATGATGATATGCACACACAATTAATAATTAAGAGAAATATCAATAATATTAGTTTTTTTAACACTTACATTAGTAGAAAAGATGGCTGGGCACACGGGGATGTGGGGTTGGTTCCGAGGCAGAGGGCAGGATGTCTTCGGGAACGTCCTCTTTTTTTTTTATGTTCAGATATGGCAACCCTAAATTAATAAGAACATAAGAATGGAGGAAACTGCAGCGGGCCTATTGGCTCATACTGGGCAGTCCCATTTACACCCAACCCCTATCGCTCATATATCCACCCAACCTATGTTTGAAGCTGTCCAGCGTGTTCAAGTTAATGATGATATTTGGTAACTTGTTCCACTTATCCACTACTCTATTTCCAAACCAATGTTTACCTATCTTGAGCCTAAATCTAAATTTGTCTAATTTAAAACCATTGCTATGAGTTCACTCTTGGTTGGATAGTTTGAGTGCCTTTGTTATAGCACCTTTATTTAGCCCTGACTTCCATTTATACACCTCAATCATATTGCCCCTCACTCTACGTCTCTCAAAGGAGTGCACATTAAGATGCTTTAACCTGTCTCTGCACTCAAGGTTCCTTATGCTTGGGATTAGTCTTATCATTCTCCTCTAAATTCTTTCTTGGGATTCTATATCCATTCTGTAGTACGGTGACCAGAACTGACCTGAGTAATCCAAGTGTGTGTAGAACCAAGCGATGAGGGTGGGAGGGAGAGAGCTACTGTACAGGTAGCGTTTTCTCACTCATTGTTCCACTCTCTCACCGTCTCCTGCTAAATGGCAATGCAGTATTTTTTCATTTATTTATTATTATTATTTTATTTTTTCCTCACATTTACTGGTACGGTATATATTATTTTATAACAAGGAATAAGTTCTTCCACATGCATACCTCCCATGCATACAAGGCTGCTGGGCCTTGGCTTGAACTGCCTCCATACATGTTCACTTCTCTCACATCCACACCCATGCTCTTCATTTCCTTGTTTTATATTTTTTTTTTTTTATTTATAACCCACATTAGAGTATTGTAATGATTTTTTGAAAACTTTTATAATTTCATTAAAAACAACAATAAATGTGGTGACTAGGCTGGTGAGTCAGAGACGTAGTTATGGCCCTCCACTTACACACATGTTCACTTCCTACACATAAATACCCATGCTCTTCATTTTTCTTATTTTATAGTTTTATACTTTTACTTTTATTCTCTTCACCACTGGTCGGCTCGTTAGCCGCTTGGGCTGTCGGTCATGTCTCTGTTATGCACTGTTGGCAAGTACTGGGCATGCATTGGCTCCTGAATATATCAGAACCTGCTCCAGTGTTGGTCAAGTCTGTTCTTGAAAAAGCTCACACACGGTACCGTTACAACTCTCTTCGGCAGATTGTTTCAAAAGTTCACAATTCTCACTCCAAAAAGGTTTGCCCTCACAGTTTTCTGGACTTGCGGCTCCTTCATCCTTGAGCTGTGACCCCTTGTGGGGCGAGTGTTCGCCATCTCCAGGTATGCACATTCGACCAAGCAGTACCCTCTGAGATGTTTATTCACTTCGATTAGGTTACCCCTCGCCCATCTGAAGTATAAGTTAGACACTTGCAGGCGTTTTAAGCTCTGGGTAGCTGAGGTCCCGTAGACCAGGCACCAGTCTGCTGGCCCTCCTTTGTACAGTTTCAATCAACTGTCAGTCTCTACGATATCTCAGGGACCAGACAGGAAAGCACCTCACTCTTGAAGATCGTGATGAATGCTGGACCTTCCTGATTACTAATCAACCTTCCTATAGGACCCACTACTTTTGTTGCTTGATTTACCTTTTTCTCTCAATGGCCCGAGAACTTAAGTTCCTTGTCGACATACACACCTGGGTCCTTTTCACATTCAGTCTCAATTAATGCAGTTTCTTTGTCCTGTTGGTGCAACCCAGGTGCATCCTCTTGCACTTGCTGACATTGAATCTTCACAGCCAATTCTTCAACCATTTCCCTAAATAACTTGGCATCATCTGCAAACATTTGTATAGAGGAGTGTATTGCTTCTGGTATGACATTTATGCCCTATGGTGCCCAACTTGTCACAGGTAAACATGACTATTTCATGCCATTAATCTCCACACACTGTTTGCGATTGTGAAGAAAGTCTCCGATCCACACTAGGACATTTCCCAGAATACCGTACC